ATTATGCCTGTTTTTCCATTCTAGAGATCTCGTACTTTTCTCTATCTCATTTTCTTTATTTTTAATCACTTCTGCACTTGTATATAAAAAATTAAAATAAAAGATCCTGAAAATTTACCATTTGATGATCTAGGAGTCAAATGTAACACCCACCCAACAATGAAGCCCCGGGAACAATATTTTTAAAATTATTAATTATATATTTTTCCTAATTAGGCAGTCTAAATTACGTTGAGAGTGGTGAGGACTAAAGGAAACTTCATCACCCTTTTAATAACTTAATAAAGACTAGTAATTGGGACCCAGCTTATCCCTTCAAATCCAATTTGGCGCACGAGGTCATGAGCGCCTTCCTCTGCAATCCACCATCATCACTTGATGTTTTTGGCAATTTCCCCTTAATATTATTAATACTTTATTGGAATATGGTGGGCCAATAATCTCATTTGTCTATTTAAATTAGGAATATCCTTTGTGGACGAGATAACTGAGATATGGAACCCAAACTACGTACTCCTCTTAATTGGGTGTGCTCTAAATACAGAATTAATTTCAGTGTTCGTCTGAGAGATCATCTCCTATAGACCATTCACATTTAATTTTTAATGTTCAGATATATAGCTTTTTAATGAATTTTTTTAAAATAAAAATTATTTTATTAAAAAATTAACCCTTAAAAGATGGTCTTTATTTTAAATTCAGCATCTATTAAAATAATTTTTTAAAAAAAGTAAAAAATTATAAATCTAAACCATTCATATTAGATATAAATTATTTAAAGGTAATGAGTTCTCCATGCTCAATTTACAGATGAACATTGAAACTGGTTCTCTCTAATACTCATAGTAAATTTAGTTTATTTATTTATTGAGAAATATAAAGTTAGTAATTAAAAAAATGTAAAAATTAATGGATGCATGTTGATTTATTCACTATTTTATATTTTCATTTGGCGAAGTGGAGTGGTGGTTGGTGATTTCCTTGATGAGATAGAAGGGAAAGGCACACTCTTCAGACCACGCGAAACTTTGAAGGCTTCATCATGACGGCCCCCCGTTAATCAAACAAACAGACAAGAACCAATCGAATCACGGCCTTGCGGGACCCAACCTTCGTTCACTCATGTCACCGCCACACTCACTCCTCCGTAGCTTTAGAATTTTCTCGCTGAGAGAATTCACAGCTTGGCTTTGTCGCTCCACGTTGCGCTCCTCATTCCGCATGTGGGGCTCCGCCACGTGTTGCCGGAGAACGGCAAGGGGTGACGGTGACTCAACGCAACGTTCCTCCGTCGCATCGCTCGACACTTTGACGTCCCCGATTTGCATCTCGTCTGACTGAGCGGTCCTGATTTGGGAAATTCATTACATTCCAATGATGGTCCCATTTTACAGACGGCGGGTTGCTTTGTTCGCACGCAGGCCGGTGGTGGGTCCCAGTCCTTGGCGGCGGCTCTGCCTTATCCCCTTCTGGATTCCTGCCACGCTGCATTAATTCAGTTGAGCCATGTCCTCAAGTCCGAAATTCTCCCCTACATATAAACTACATTTTAAGAATAATTACTCCTCCAATTAAAAATATAAAATATTTTTTAAAAATTTAATATTTAAAAATATAAAATATTTTTAATTTTTTAAATATAATTATTATTTTTTTAAAAAGTGTTTCTGTTAATAATAACTTTATATATATTATAACATATTTAATAAAAATAAATATAAAAAAATAAAATTAATTTAAAAATAAGTAATTATTTTATTAAAAAGTAAGATTAAGTTAAAAATATTTTATTTTTTAAATGAAAGAAATATCACTTTATATAAAAATTAAAAAATACAAATGATTAATTACTTTCTTAATTTCTTTTTTGGCCACGATGAATTATTTTCTTAATTTTCTCCTTTCGTAATTTTCAATGAATAAAGAGTGAAAATTATATAAAAATATTTTTAAAGATAATGCTTCTACAAAAATATTTCTTTCTTTTTAATACGAAAATCAATAATAATAATAATCTAACTACCTTTTGTTAATTTAGGAAAATCTTAATTAGCCATCCTGACCCAACATAGTTTTTGGCCGCACCCAAAATTATGAAATTTCACTATATATTTAGGAATTGAAATGAAATTAAAAAGATAATTCAAACAATCTTATTATTTTTAGTGAAATTAAGTGCATAAATAATTTATTTAAAAAAATAAATAATTAATCTATAAAAAATAAACAATTTATGTGGATAAAACTTATAACTCTCATTAACAAAATAATATCAATATAAATTTAGAACTCTCATCCTACTTATGTTAATTGTTCATTTTTTATATAATTTATTCATGTACTTAATTTTATCAAGAATAATGAAGTTATTTGAATCATTTTTTTTAATTTTATTTCAATCCATCAAATATGTAGTAAAATTTTAAGTTTTGGAAGATTGACTGATATTATTTTGGGGTCCAGAGAGGCTGATTGAAATTTATTCTATTAATTTTGATGAGGTAATTAAAATTAACAATAATTCAAAAATAAAATTAAAATTGCTCTCGGAGTTTTTATTCATAAAGTGTTTGTTCACGTGCTTTGCGAAAAGTTATTATTATCTTTTTCTTTTTTTTAAACTTTTATCCCAAGTTTTTAATTATCTCCTTATTGAAAATGGAGTGGAAAATGATAGGTAATTCAGTCATCCGTGCAATGTTTTTTAAAGCAAGGGTTGAATGAGAAGATTTTCCTAACTTTCTATTCAACACCATATTATAATAACTATTCCCTTCATTTAAAAGTATAAATATTTTTAATTAAATTTTATTTTTAATAAAATAATTACTTATTTTTTAATTAATTTTATTTTTTTATATTTATCTCTATTAAACATCTTACAATAAATATAAAATCATTATCAACAGATATACTTTAAAAAAAATAATAATTATACCTTGACAGATTAAAAATATCTTGCATTTTTGAACATTTAATTTTTAAAAAATATTTTATTTTTAAATGAAGGGAGTATTTTTTTTTTATGTTTACAAAATATGTCAGTAGAAATAGTTATCTCTAGATAATGCACAAATCATATTTAACAATACTGAATATTATATATATATATATATATAGATATGTAAATAAAGAAATGCTATAAGATCTGGAATCAATTATTATTTGGATCTAATTTTTTATTTTTGAAAATTATAACTAAGTTGGAAATATTTTACTACCCCCCAGAAAATTGAAGTGCTCTCTTCTTTATCATCTCGTCAAGCGAGCAATAAAAGGTTTTTCATTTTATGTTCTCAGTTTGGGTGACAAAAATTGTACTATCTCTAAATAATAAAAATCTCTATATATTCTTCATTGCCAACAAGACATAGGGTCGAGACAATATTCTGCATGATTTAAACATGTTCAATGTATTCTTTTGATGATAATCTTTATATATAGACACTATGAATTGTTTGCAGTAGACTAATATCACGTGTGTTCTTCTTCTTCTTTTTTCTCTCTTCTTTCCGACATTTGTACTAGATGCCTAAGGTTCTAGAGCATAGGAGGGGAAATTAGTAGGTTGTGAATATAAAATATAAAAATTCATTATAATTAAATGGCACAAATGAGTAATTTTGATTGGTATTACCTAATATTGCTGGTTGTTACTTTGATTAGATTAAAAGAAAACATAGTTTATAGCCCTTAGTGCTTTGGTGGTCTAGTGACAAAGTTCTTGTAGTATTTTTAATCAGGCACAAATATTTTTTTTATTAAAAATAATCTTGTTCAAAACACAGTTAAGTTATTAAATGTATTGTCTTTTGATCAAGGTTATTGAAAATTTTAGTATTTTTTGGATTGTAAAAAATTTAGATCAATTGAATCTCAAAAACTCATCAAGAAATTACGTGTTCCTTATTAGTATTAAAATGTTCCTAATTAGAAACCTGCAAGAATTTCTAATAATATTAGAGATTTTGATCAAAGTGAACTAAAACTCTAAAATCTGATTTCTTAATTAAAAGCATACAAGAATTTTAACTAAAGCTGACCAAAACTATAAGGACAAAAAAGTAATTAGCTATATGGTTTTTTAAGACTAAAATACATAAATCTCTCTTAACTCTGAGATTGGTGTATATGATTTGTCTCACATTTAAACATTTAAAACTAACCCCCAATCGTGAATTTTATTTTTCAAAATTCCCTACTATTAAGTAACTATTACAGTATTTATTAATATACTTATTGTCATGTTTGATTAATACAATATACGTAGCACATAACATGAAAAAAATATTTTATTATTTTTTAATACAGTTTAAGTAGGGGTAAAATTATAATTTTTATTTTTAATATACAATATGATATTTTCATTTTTTTCAGTTGAATGACATTATTCTCATTGTTCATGGGTAATGTAATTTAAGAAAAAAATATAATTTTATTATTTTTTATCAATTAAAATAGCCTTTTATACTAAAAAAATAAAAAATAAATATATTTAAAAGTTATTATTAATAAGAATCATATAAATAAAAAATTATCCTTTAATGCAAGAAAACTATGGCATCTTATGGGTTGTTTTTAATAAAATTTATACTGATCAACAATAGCAACAAAATATCATATTCTAATGCAGTACGTATTCCATTTATAACGTAACAATAACATATATTTTTTTTGAATAATTATTAAAAACTTCATTTAAAGAAGAAAATAACAATTACAAATAAATAAGAGTCTAAAAAAAATAAATTAGATAATGAAATTTATATGACTTTTATCAATGATAGCTTTTAAATATTTTTCTTTTCATTTTTTTAATACAAAAGGCTGTTTTAATTGATAACAAATAAGAAAATTATAATTTTTTTCTTAAATTATATTTTCCATGAATAATGAAAACAATATCACTCAACTAAAAAAAATAAAAAGCATCATTATGTGTGTTAAAAGTAAAAATTATAATTCATCCTTTTCTTAAATTGTGTTAAAAAACAATATAAATATTTTTTCAATGCCCTGTGCCATATGTATTGCATTAATATGATATGACAGTAATTATATCAATAAAAGAATACTCTATTTGTTAAAAATGTAAGATATTTTTAATTAAATTTCACTTTAATAAAATAGTTACTTATTTTTAAATTAACTATATTTTTTATATTTACCCCTATTTATTAGGATGCTTTACTCTTAAATAAATATAAATAATTTATTTAATGGAAATATTTTTTAAAAAATATAATGATTACACCTTAAAAAATTAAAAATATCTTATATTTTTTAACATTTAATCCCTCAAAAAATGCTTTAAATTTTTTATCGAAGGGAATAGTTAATTAATGGTAAGGGGTTTTAAAAAATAAAATTAAAAATCAGGGGTTTAATTTCAAATGTTGAGAGGTGAGGGGAGTCATATGTAATTGTTTTAAAGTTAGGGAAGTTTTATGCATTTTATAGCATTTTTTTAATAAGTAAAACAATAATTTTCAAGAACCATTTATGACATGGTTCTGTAATTATCCTTCATCAAATGATAATATCATTGATTTAGGAAAAAAAATATGAAGGATCCATCACAATGATATTTTAATCTAAACATTTTAATTTCAGACACAATTATTAGTTAACTAATTTTTTAAATTGTGTGAGTTAATCAGTATTTACTTATATTTGTCTTAAAAAGGGAGGGAGTATACAATAGTCCAATTACAGGGATAACTTAAAAAAATAAATATAAGATAAAAGAGATTGATACGTTAAATTTAGAATTAAAAAAAATTTCATTTAATTTTAACTGTATTTGGGAGAGGAGAGGGTATTTTCCTCAAATAAATTAGTTGGACAAAGGCCTCACGATGGAAAGAGAAGACAAAAATTAAGAATGAACGCGCTTCGCGCTAAGCATTTTCTTATTGTCTTGGGAATTTATGTTGTTAAATTCTAATTCCTTTGCACATTCTATCTGTCTCTTTTTTTGTTTTCTCGAGCTAAAAAGTCTACAGTTTTTAACCATCAATTATTATATAATTTTTTCGAAAGCTGATATGATATCTTACAAATACTACTATACTTGTAAAATTTGTTGACCATGACACTACTTGCTTTGTTTGTATTAGCTTTATATATATATATATATATATATTTGATACACACACATATATCGCTAGATCTACACTTACAAATTATTTAATTTATTTATTTTTATCCGGTTAATATATTTATTTATTACAGCATACCATGATGAGAATCGCGCTCCAATAGATTTACATTATGCCCCCTTAGCTTTTTTTTTTTATTATATTTTTTGTTATTATTTTGTAATAATTTGGTTATTTTTTTCATCCTATTTATAAGTGTTGCCATTCACTTTTTATTACAAAATTTTCTTTTTAACTTATTAAATATCGAGGGGAGAAAGTAGATTACTAAAATATGAACCCCCTAATTTTTCCATACACTTTACATTTGTCATTCGCTGAAATACAAAATTGAGAAGTCAAATGCTTTTTTGCAAATTTAAAATATTGACTGTCATACTTAATTGTGAAATTGGTTGACTTTATTTGATAATAAAATTATGAAAAATCATATTTAATAAAAATAATATTAAAATTTATTAATTTTTTATAATTTTTTATTTGATAAAATATATTATAAATAATTAATAAATTTTAAAATTTTTTTATTATTCCCCCATTTTAAGTTATAAATTTTTTTTGATAAAATTATATATACTTATAAATATCATTAAATACATTTTAAATTTTATTTTTTAAAATAAAAATAAAATTTTTTAAAAATATTTTTTAAAGAATATTGAAAACAGAAAATATAAAGATGATATTAAAAATATTATTAATGAAATTTTATTTTTATTAAATTATCTTATATTTAAACATATTAAATTTATTTTAAAAATATTTTATAATTTCATATCTATAAGTACTTAAAAACCATGTCTGTTATTGGAATATGAGCAGATGGCTGTGTGTGGAACTGCACAGGAAAACGATTGAGCATAGATCACCGGACTCCACACAGAGAGAGAGAGAGAGAGAGAGAGAGAGAGAGTTCTGTTTCTATTTGAAGACCGGGCTGGTCGTCAGTCTCCCACAGACAAGCTTGATAGATAGCTTATCGCTATCAGCATGTTCACTCTCCAATCCAAATATCTTCTCTTCCCTTCCACCCTCACAAACCGCTTAGATCCATCTGCTTAGAAAACCCTGTGAGCATGTGAAGTGAAACTCTCTGTCTCTCTTCAGCTTCTTTTTTCCGAGCATGCTTCCCCCTGTTATTTTTAATCTCTACTTTTTTGGTTTCTTCTATTAAATCAAGACCTGTTGAGGAGTCTGAAGAAATATCCCTTCCCTGTTTGTTCTCTTCCTACTCCTAAAGTTCACAGCCCCATTTCCCTGAAGCTCAATTCAGATTCTAGGTCGCTCCTTTTCGCATATTCTTGTAATACTCCGAGACCGAACCAGTGAAGGGTTTTATCAGTTTCAGGATTGAATTTCTGTTTAGGGATATCAGAAATGCAAGACCCGACGGCATTCCAGCCGATGAAACCCCCCTTTCCTGAACAAGAACACCTTAAATGTCCTCGTTGTGATTCCACCAACACCAAATTCTGCTACTACAACAACTATAATCTCTCGCAGCCTCGTCATTTTTGCAAGAATTGCAGAAGGTATTGGACCAAAGGCGGTGCTCTCCGAAACATACCAGTCGGTGGTGGAAGCCGAAAGAACACGAAACGATCGTCAACTGCCAAACGCCCTTCTGCTTCTTCTTCTTCGCCATCAGCATCATCTTCTCCTGCCTCAGTTCCGTCTGCATCAACAGCTGGTCCGGATCCTAACCCGCCCCGGTTTTGTGCCAACCTGAGTGGTCCCGTGAACCTTGGTGGGAGTTTCAGTTCTCTTCTGGCATCAACTGTGCAGTGGGGGGGCTTATTGGAGGGTTTGAATTCAAGTGGGTCTGGATTGAAAATGATGCAACTGGGTGGATTTGGAGAGAATGTGGGTTCTGGCCATGGGAAGAATTCGGATTCGGGTCGAAGCCCGGGGATGGAAAGGCAGAGCAATGGTAATTCGGAGGGCTTTCTGGGTATGCAAAATGTTGATTCAAACTGTTGGAATGGTAGTAGCAATGGGTGGTCTGATCTTGCAATATATACACCGGGGTCAAGCTATCAGTAGAAGAAGCAAAAGAAAATTAACTGAACTCTTTTATGATTATGTTGGTGATTATGAGATTTATACTTGAAAACCGTTTATGAGATGGGTGATCATAGTTACTCAAAAAGCATTTTCTGACGCTATTGAATGGAAGATCTCATACCATAGAAAAGGCCTCTATAAAAGCATCAACGTTTAGGTAATCTAATAGCTCTCTTGTTTTGTGATTTGTTTGCGAATGGTGTTTCTTTAATGATGGAGAAGAAACGAATAGAAAATCATATTGATGATAATTTCTGGAGGGATACATATGAATGTTGTTAGAATGGCTGTGTTTGTGATGTAGGAGATTTGTTAGCGTGGTTTGGGATTCTAATTTAATCTATATGTATTGAATACATGTAATATTATGTATCTTTACGCATAGTTTTTCATGGACCTGTGGCTGTATCGATTTGAGTAATTTCAATTCATTTGTGCATTCTCATTAATTAGACTTTTGATGGAATGGGGGGAAGTTATGAAAGAAATCAAAGCACACCATTTTTTTTGTTAAAGAAAAAATTTCCTTGAAACCTTACAATTAAAGTCGTCATGGTTCAAGTGTTCAAGTTCGATTTTTTTATTCCCAAAGATGTCGGTTGACAATCTCACCAAAAACAAAGGATAAAGAAGGATTCTGGTGCGAAATATAAGTCACTTCGAACTAGATTATTGGTGTTGTTTGAGAAAGGGGAAAAAAATTCAGTTTATCTCTATTAAATGCATTATTTTACTCTATCGAGAAAATTGCATAGGGATAAAATTGGAAAAAGCAGCCAATTGTTCATCCCTTTTCATGCAAAATGACTTATAAAAAGAACTATCAATTTGGGCAAGGATCAATGCTATGTGGGTTGCTATTAGCTACCTAACCTAAACTGAAGGTCTCTGTTAAGTCTGAAAATTTAACAATCATGGTCAAACTTTCTTAATGCATTTTAGGTTGTTTGGTATCCATGAATATAAGCACTTAGCTGACTTCGGTTGATGATTTCAAGTTTGAATTTTGAAGTGTGACGCCGATCTTATCAGTTTATTGTGTTGAAGTGTTGCAAATTCAATGATTATTTATTAGAGTTGCCTCCGAAGTCCCAATTCTGGATGTCAACATATTGTAGAAATATATCTCTATATTTTAAGGACTTGTGCATCTTGAGATGGATCTAATTTAAAGATTTAGAATGTTCATATTACAAATTTGTTATTTTTGGCTTTTCATTCAAACTATAATCTTTTAGGTGATAGTTGCACACTTATTTCTATTGTGCATGTTATTAAATAATAAAAGAAATATGATTAGATGATTTGTTCAGATAAAAAAATAATGAGTAATCTTTACTTATTTTGACCAGTTTGTTAGTTTGGGAGATATTGTCCAGTTCACATGGCACCAGTATGAGTTATGAAAAGTATCAACCCTCTAGGATGAGGAGGTGTCTTTTATTTGAAGAAATATAACTACTACCACTTGTTAAACAGGGTACATTGATGTGGGCATGAATGACGTGGCAGGGTTTGAATATTGAGCCATAAGAAGATAGACGCTAACATTCTTGGAGACCCATTTTTCCAAATTTGAATTGGTTTGGTGGTTGTGTGTGATAGACTTGGTCTTGAGGTTGAGGCTCTGATTGGTGGGATTGATACAAATTCAAGTGATGTGTGTAAGAGTCACACTAACACTATCATGATTCATGAATGTTGGGTCCGACCTTGGACCACTCTGTCTGCTCTCACCAGTTGTTACCATTTCATTTACGCTTCGCATGTGAGTGCTGATGACTGATGAGTCAGTTTGTCAAACCCACTAAAGAAAAAAACTATGAATCAGGAAACGTCTTACTTGGTGAGTTAGTTTATCACTGTCAATTATATCTATTTTGGGCTGAAATTTTAATAAAAACCAGACTCTGGATTCATGTTCCTCATGGGCTTAAGCTGAGTTATTTACACTTCACATGTTGGTTTGATTTCACGTTGAAAACCACTAAAGAAGTTATCTGGTTGTGCCAAGCGCTAACACCGATTTTTGTGTTGCTAACGTGAAATTCAACACATGCAATATGTTTCTTTTTATGAATATTTGGCGTGTATGTATGTATCTATTCATGTTAAAAGGAAAAGGATTGGATCTTTATGAGATGGAATTTACAACCTGACATTTACAATGGGAATAATATTGTAAAAATGTCTTTTGTTTTTTTGGCTTGTTGGAAAGAAAACAAAAATGAAAAAGAAGGTTGGTTAAATAATATTTTAACTAATAATTAAGTTTTGTATATGTTATGCGAGTTGTGTTTGAACTATCTATAATATTTTTATGTATTTAATTTTATATATTTAATATATTTTTATTTAATTAAATCATAATAAGTGAATGTTAATGCATTAATAATATTGGGAACAAGAGTTTTTCATGTAATAAATAATTTATAAAATATTTATATCTTAATTTAATTAAAAATAAATATTTTAAATATATAAAATTAAGTATATAAGTTTTTGTTGCTTCAAGTTTTAGATTTGAGATGTCTTAGGGTGGATGAATCATATTGTCCCCTGAAAAAAAAAAAAGGTGGGGGGGGGGGGATAGTCCAGTTTTGTTAATGAAACGGAGGTCATTGTCAATCACCTAAAGTGAGGACAGAATTTGATAAAGTGTAATGTTAAGATTGAAAAAGTTAAATTCGTTTTGTATTTATCAAGGTACATAAAATCAGACTAATTATTAAATCAGTCAGGGTATTAAATATGTGTTAGTAGTTCAACCCGGGGTTGAACCAATTATAATTAAAATAATATAATTTAAATAAAAAGATATTGATTATAAAAACATTTAATCAAATTCAACCACTAAAAAGTCTATTGATAATAAAATATAATATTTTAAATATCTATCATTACAATTATAACCTTTCAATCATTAAAAAGTCTAAAATTAATATTCATTAATACCAAAGTCATTATTAACTTCATTCAAATCTTAAGCTTAAAGTAATGATTAGCCAAAGTAAAATCAAAAGTACAAAAGGGAGAGGGAAGAGAAGACGAGACATGAGCTACAGAGACTAACTTAATTCAAAGGGAATGCAAGCATGAGCTAGGATGTAGAAGACTTTAGGAGTGAAGGTGAGAAGAGAAAGAACGTCGTGCTAAGCTGTCAAGTTAGGTTGCACATTGTTGATGGTGAGAAGAATTAAAGGCATCTGATTAGGTTTACGGCAAGCAAAGGTTTACGGTGAGCAAATGAGAAGAGACAGAGACGAGAGCGATTGGTTGATTAAGTTAAGATGAGAGATAAATGTCTGCATTGAGGCACTCTGCTCTGCCTCTAATTTCATTTTTCATTTCTTCATTCAATTTCAAAATTTGAAAATTTTAAAAAAATTGGGGGTTTTGCAAAAAAAAATAATAAACCGGCCAACCCAGTCAACCCATTAGGTTAGCTGGGTTATACCGGGTTAACCTCAAATTGACTGAGTCACACCGGATCAACCATTGACTGAGTTAGGTGAAAACCTAAACAGGTAAAGAGACAGGATTGTCAGTTTATGTGTCGATCCGACTGGTCCGGTTTAGGTTTTCATATCATGGTGTTTACTCATAGTTTGTTGAGATAAATTAAGAATAGTGAATCTGATAAGATTCCAGATAATATTCCCATGAAGACTTATCCAAGAAGAAAGCGTCAAAAGATAAATTCAGATTGATTTCATTGTTTATTTTGCTCAGTATTTGATATTTCTTTAAATTATAGGTGCTCGATATAAAGGGTGAAACACCTGTGGCTGAACTAGAAGAACAACTAGAGACCAGAGATGCAATGCTCAAGCTTCTGAGGGACGATTTGCATAAGGTTCAAGATTGAATGAAGGCTTATGATGACAAGCATCGGCGGGAAGTTGAGTACAATATTGGTGATGTTGTGTGGCTACGAGTACAACCTTTTCGCCAACAATCGCTTACCAAGCAAAAGTTTGAAAAATTATCACCTCGCTTCTTTAGCCCATACAAGATTCTTCGTAGGATTGGCAAAGTGGCTTATTAATTGGAACTTCCGGCAGAGGCTCGTATTCACCCTATCTTCCATGTCTCTCTTTTACGCCAGGCTACAGGGATAGATCCACCACTCACACCTGCCCCCTTACCGCTTTCTGCTGATTTTGAGTTACATGTAAAGCCTCACTGAATCTTAGATCATCGATGGACTCGTCATCAGTCGCTTGAATTGTTAGTAGAATGGCATGACCGACCTGTGGAAGAAGCCAGCTGGGAGGACTACGATCTCTTGCACACTCAATTTCCCTCCTTTCAACTTGAGGACAAGTTGAGTTTTCAAGGGGAGGGTAATGATAAGATTCTAGATAATATTCCCATGAAGACTTATCCAAGAAGAAAGCGTCAAAAGATAAATTCAGATTGATTTCATTGTTTATTTTGCTCAGTATTTGATATTTCTTTAGATTTAGTATTTTATTTAGTCAGATTTTATTTAGATCTAGCAGTTTATCTATTTAGATTTTATTCAGTATTTTAGATTATAGGAGATATTATTTAGTTATTTAGTTATTTTAGATTATAGGAGATATTATTTAGTTATTTAGTTATTTTAAATTATAGGAGATATTATTTAGTTATCTAGTTATCTAGATTTTATCCATTATTTTAGATTGTATTTAGCATTATAAATATGACTAGCAACTTAGAAGCTATCATATCAGTTTATCAATAAAATAATCTTTTAAACCCTTTGGAGATTCTCCTGAGCGTGGCTATTAAGAGAAATATAGAATGAGATTCTTATTCTATATCATCCTAATAGAGTTATTCTTATTTTAGTTATTCTGAGCACCTATCAATTTGGTATCAGAGCCATGGTTACTACACGTACTAGCCAAGAAACCAACCCTTCTGACAATTCGTCCAACAATGACCCAGAAAATCTAAATTCACTTATGTCAGATCATTTGGCCAAAATCGCGCAGCAACTCGAAACTCTTGATTTATTAAAAGAGAAGGTAGAAGCACTCGAAGCCTCAGCAATCAATAAAAACAAGAAACCTGGAGAAGCACGCCGCAAGCACTATTATGAAGATGAAGAGAGTGAAGACGAGCAAGAAAATTGATAGGTGCTCAGAATAACTAAAATAAGAATAACTCTATTAGGATGATATAGAACAAGAATCTCGTTTTATATTTCTCTTAATAGCCACGTTCAGGAGAATCTCCAAAGGGTTTAAAAGACTATTTTATTGATAAACTGATATGATAGCTTTTAAGTTGCTAGTCATATTTATAATGCTAAATACAGTCTAAAATAATGGATAAAATCTAGATAACTAGATAACTAAATAATATCTCCTATAATCTAAAATAACTAAATAACTAAATAATATCTCCTATAATCTAAAATACTGAATAAAATCTAAATAGACAAACTGTTAGATCT